TTGTTACGTCATATTTTGCTCTCAGTTATCCCTAAACTTATCTGAATTAAAGGTAGTTTCAAATTGACTCTTCATTGATCTGTTTTGACTTTATTGTTTTAAAAGATAAGATTCAAAACCCTAGGCAACAAGCATCCTCATTTACATTTGCCCTTAACTTTTCACGCCAACATGTAAGTTCACATTTATTGGCTGCGTCTAAAAATATCAAATATATTTTCAATTTAAAAATAGATATGAAATAATACAATAATACAATATACATAATACAATATAGCCTACGATAAACTTATATAGTTGTACTAGGTCATCAAATCAATCAAAATCACTTTAGTCTGTCCAATAAGCTGCCTGCAGTGTCTTTAAATGTCCAGCAGGTGTCAGCATTCTGTGAGACAGTATCAATAGTTATGCAATGTGTCGAAATGCTTCAACATGCCTAATTAACCCATCACTAGTTTATTGGAAATTAATATAAACATAAATGTATAAAAATGTACTAGATGGATGCATGGCGAGATAAAACAAAGGCTCCCACCACTTTGCTAAGCCCTTGAGAAAAACCTCATACAGACAAAAGCACAGATATTTGGCCTGTTTCTATTCCAAACCACGTAAATAGTTACACTTTATGTTTTCGAATTATGTTTCTTTGCATTAAAATCTACAAGGCACAAAAGTATCTTACCAACATTAAAAACCTAGCATTTAGAAAGTAAAGGCGTGGCTAAGCTAGCAGGAGTTAGGAGCTAAAAATACTTTCAATTCAGAAACTGAATGTTAAGACTTTTTTAGCAACCTTTATGTCTGAAGGCTTGCCTTCCGGTTCTATGTCCCAGTCATCGTTACTGGCGTCGCTTTCATATCCAGCAGGGAAGGCGAAATCAATATTGCGCATGGCTCCGGTGCTAAGCTAATAGCTGTCAGTTACCAGCTGCGTGCCTGGTGGCTGAGGTCGGAGTGGGCGGGGTTTAATGAGACGCACGTGGGTGTAATCACGGAATTTATTGGTAAATTATTTACGGAGGAGGATTAGGGACAGTGAGAAAATAAAAAATGTTGACTGATTTTTAAATTTGATTTCAGTTAAATATGGGAAAAAAGTCAGAATTCTGAGGAAAAATCTGAATTCTGACTTTAATCTCAGAATTCTGACTTTAATTTCAGAATTCTGATTTTTTTCTCATAATTCTGACTTTAATCCCAGAATTCTGACTTTTCTCCCAGAATTCTGACTTTCATCTCAGAATTCTGACTTTAATCTCAGAATTCTGACTTTAATCTCAGAATTTTGGATCTTAATGTAGATGGGCACCATGAAGGATGAGATGTGGGAGCACTCAGCTTCACTAACAAAGATGTGAGTTTTTTAAGAGGGCCAGTGACAAAGTGGAAAGTGGAAAATGACAGAATAAGGCAACTTTTTACGTGCCCGAGGGGTCCCCAGTGATGCTGTTTCATTCATGAAACAGCAGAAGGTGATTAAAACAAGAGAGCTAGTCTCTAAAACAGACATGGCTATGGCTTGATGAAAACATGTTTGTTAGCTGTCAGAATTCAGTCAGAATTGTGAGATTAAAGTCAGAATTCTGAGATGAAAGTCAGACTTCTGGGAGAAAAGTCAGAATTCTGGGATTAAAGTCAGAATTATGAGAAAAAATCAGAATTCTAAGATTAAAGTCAGAATTCTGAGATGAAAGTCAGACTTCTGGGAGAAAAGTCAGAATTCTG